TGCTCCACATCCCCATCTGTATCTATCTTGCATTCACAAGCCCCTGTTTCTCCATCTAATCTCTCCTAACCCTTCTCTCTGGCTCTGCTGACACAGGGACAGTGGTAGGGTTGGCTTTGAAGCAGCTCAGGCCACAGCCTGCAGCAGCCTTGCCACAGTGCCTTGGGGTTAATGCCACCAGGACCTGCCCAGGCAGCTCCCAGGGCAGCACCCCTGTGCCAGCTTGTGCTGCTCACCATGCCCTGGGGAGCTCACCATGCCCTGGGGAGCTCACCATGCCCTGGGGAGCTCACCATGCCCTGGGGAGCTCACCATGCCTCAGCATCCAGAGCTCTGCTGCAGCCTCCCACAGGTACAAACAACAGGTTGGAGGGAAATCATTTCTTTTTGCCTCGAAGCCTTCAACCCCCACACTCCATCACCACTCTGGGCAGGTGCCACAGGTCCCCTGTTGAAGATGCTGGCTCCTGGCCTGCCAGTCAAGCTGCCAGGAATTCAGAGAGGCCCAAAATAACCTTCCAGGGGCGATGCAATGACATCACATCCCAGCAACTCTGTCCCAGAGGACAAAGTTTCTATACCCTTCCAAGCCCCAGCTCAGCACACTGCAAAGGCAGCTGCTTCAGGCCTGGCTGGGAAGACCCTTCAAAGAGCAAGACTCCTTCCTGAAGGCTTGAGAAGGCTTTAGGAACATGGGCTGCATGAGTGGTACTGCTGCAGAGGGCACAATGTCCACCTCTGGTGAAGCACCTGGGTAGGGCCCCTTCCAACCCAACTCATTCCATGATTCCTTGCTGGGAGAAGAGGGGGAAGCCCCAGCTGAAGGGGGTTTCCACTTTTCCAGAGCTCCTGCTGACACGAGTGGCTGCCCAGCTGCTTTTCACCCTGCCATGTGGAATGAGCAAAGAAACCTCCCTGGCAACAAAGGAGCAGATGAGCTGGAGGGACTTCCCAGCACCTCCAGCTCACATGAGGGCATGGAGGGGAGCACCACAGCTCCATTTCAGGAACTGAGAGAAGTCACAGCCTTAGCCCAGCTGCTAAAGTTAGAGCCCTTAGGGTTTCCCCTTCCCAACCCACCCTGTCAGCTGCTGCATGGGGCACGGGGGAAACTGAGGGGGAGGGAAAGGAAAAAAAGGGGTCACTGGAGTGTCACAGATGCAGGGGAGGAAAGAAGGTCACTAATCAGCCGGTGGAAACATCCTGAAGTAGCCTGAGGTGAGCTGCTCACTGAACCAGCCATCCCCATCCCCATCCCTGCAAGACAACAGCCTGTTGCTACCAGGACAGAGGTTACAGACCCAGGGGAGGACTTTTTACAGGCTGTTTCTACCCAGTGCTCTGCAGACAGACAAGGCACTCGCACGTGGTTCATTTCTTTTCCAACCAAAGCTGTGGGCTCATCAGGACACACCACCAGGACCCTGCAGATGGACTCGTGCTGCTCATGTTGGCCAGGGCTCTGAGCAACCTGCTCTAGTTGCAGATGGCCCTGCCTGCTGCAGGGGGGTTGGACCAGATGAGCTTTAAAGGCTCTTTCCAGCTCAAACTATTCTATGATTCTGTAATTCTATGTTCCCAGTTGCCTAAAAGCTAGAGAAAGTTTCCTATTATCAGCTGACCAGCTCCAGGTCCTTGCTAACGTTATCCAGGCAGCTCCTGGCCACGTCTGCATGCAGAGCAGCTAGGGAACCACCTCCCATAGACGTGCAGCTTTTGGGTCCCTAAAACCCAATCCCAGCCAAAACACTCTGATGTGGGCTCCTTTCCAAACTCGAGCCAGATGCAGCTGCCCAGTCTGAGCCCTCGGGGCAGGCAGTGTCCCCAAAAGGGGCAAGAGGCTGTTGGAGAGCTCAGCTTACCTCTCGGAGGTGGGGTCCTGGCAGTTGAGGGGGTACTTCAGCTCGATGACGTTGCTGTTCTTCTCCCTCAGCAGCCCCTGCTGCTCGGTGTAGTACTGCACCAGCTCAGCCAGCGTGGCAAACTTCTCCCCCCCATAGAGGTCGTAGTAATCCCCCGTGTTCTGGATCTTGATGTGTGTCACCTCGTCGTTCCTCCTGGGGAAGGAAGGCAAAGGAGGCTGGGAGCATGAGAGAATGGAAACGAGCCCTGACCCTCTGAGTCCAGCCACCCCCTGAACACCTCCTGTCCCTCTGAGGTGCTCCACGAGCTCTCTGGTCACCCAGTGCCACTCCTGCTGGCCACACAGCTACAGGATGGGAAGGGATGGATGCTCCTTGGCCAAGGACTCTGCACCTTGCAAGCCCCCAGCCTGCTCTGCTCCACAGGAGGTAATTCCTCCTCTGCCTCCTTCCACTCCCTACACTCCTTACCCTCCTAGCTGGACGAGGCTCTGACCTCACTCTGGTTTGCAGTGAAGAGTTTTCTATGCAGTAGCTTCCTCACTATCATCTAATCAGTTTTTAAACCCCCCTCCAAACCAATAGATTGCCTGACATTTGCAAACCCTAGAAACTGCACTGAAAGGCTTAATGCTTTCCCCCTCTCCAGTGGTGCTCTCCAGGCTCAAGGGAATACAGCCAGATGCCTTTATCAGCCTGTTCCAAGAGCCTGGCAAAGCCCATCTCCTTCCTCAGAAAGCCACAGTAACCTCTGAGAGGTTAATTGCATTTCAAAGCCACTTAGCAGCAGCCCCCTGAGCCAGGGAGACATGGCTGGAAGCCTGTTGCTTGATGGACAAGCTGGATCAGAAAGAGATTCCTACATCTGGGCAAATTTCTCTGTGCTGAGCTGCTCCCAGCCTCTCTCCATTTGTTGCCAAAGCAACTGTGACAGGGAAGATGCAGCAGATTCAAGGTGGTGTAAGCAGCACACCAGATCAGACAGCAAAGCCATTTTTTAGGGGAATTAGTAAAGCTGCTGTGGTCTGTGCACAAAGTTGAGTGGACTGCAGAGCTGGACTGGGGCTCTGGGGGTCTCCTGCTCCTGTTCCTGCTCTCTTCCAGCAGCAGGTTACAGCTCCTGTGGCAATGCAGTCAAAGACCAGATATCTGGAGGGTATTGGATACCCTGCCTCAGCTCCAAAAAATCAGCTCCTGTTTAGCTTTAGGCTGTAGGGCCCACCTCAGAGTCTGGCCCTGGATCCTGATCAGTCATGCTACACATGGACAAGGCCTTGGAGACAGAACCCAATGGTCTGTGAGCTGGGAAGCTGATGAGTGGCACTCGTGGGGGTTTAGAGAGACTCAGTTAACCCTTGCCCATACATCTGGTAACTAGAGTCTGACCCAGCCTGCCGTGCCAACTCCAGCTGTCCTGTGGGCAGAGACTTCAAAGCTGGGCAATATTTGCCTCCAGGGGATGGGCAGAACTGGCTGGAAGGCAGGGAAAACTGGCAGTGAAATTCAGATCCCAGGCAGTGCTCCCCAATTCCCCTGCTCCAAGAGGAGCTGGCACACAAAGTGCCCCTGCAGCTGGACACGGAGCCTTTGTGCAGCACAGAGGACACCAGAGGAAACTGTGGGTTTGCCACTTGGCTCCAAAGCTCCCTTCTTTCCACAGCTCCAGCCCCACATCCCAACCCCACTACAGACCCACAAAAGCTCAGTTCGAAGACCCACCCCCATGGCCTTTGAGCACTTCAGGGATGAAAAGCAGAGAGATAATCAGGGTTATTTATCCCAAGAGCCCTCAAGGTCACGCTTAACACGGAAGGCATTGATCAAGCTCCATTTCCTTCCCATTTTCCTCTCTTAGAGCTCTCTGCAGTGCCAAGCTGGGCAGCAGAACTGGGCAGCACAGCAACAGCATCCATTAAACTGTGCCCTCAACGTGCTGGCTGGTGAAATAAAGCATAAAGGAGATGCCCAAAGTTCTCAGCTGCCCCGTGCTGGAGGGCATGGCTACTTCTGACTAACAGAAGCTCTCCTGCAAGGACACAGTACTGCCCAATAGCAGATGCCAGCTTGTCTGGCAGCTTCAGAGTCAGCAGTCAGACAAGTGAGAGTCTCCTCCATTCCAAGCTAAGCCTCTTTACACTATCAGTACAACTCCTCAGCTAGACACCCAAGAGGGTTTCTTGATCCAGATATTGCAGCTTGTGAATCTGTGTCCACACTGCAGTGACCACAGGCACAGATGGAGTCTGCTCTTCACAGCAGAGCACAGTCAGGAAGGAGAGGACTTGTGAAAAACCCAACTAGACCCTTTTTTTCCATCACTGAAAGCAAAATCAACTCTTTAAATTTCAGAAATGCCTTTGCCTGTTGCATCTCCTGAAGTCTTTTATGGTATGTGCTTCTCTTGCCTGTGTCAGAGAAAGCTTAGAACTTCACAGCACATATAACCCTTCTGACAGTTGCAAAAAAAGGAACCCAAAAAACCCCAGAGACTCTCTGTGGAAAAAAAAAATGAGATGATTCACCCACAGGGTTTAGAAACTTTGCCAAATTTTGCTTTCAACTAAAGGAGAGCTTGGGCTCTCAGAGAAAACTCACTACCCACCAGCACAGCCCAACAGAACCAAGTGACATTTGCCAAGTGAGCTCTGGAGATTAGGGATGGGGTTTGAATTCTTCACCCCCAGTTCCCAGGAAGAAGCAATTCAGCTGAGCCTGAGCTCTACTGCTCACTGCAGGCATCAGGAGCTCCAGAAGGTGCACAGGGACCAAGGACATCCAAGTCCTCACTGAACTCACACACTGGCAGTTTCCCTAGAGGGTATTTATGCTTTTTGCATTCCTGAAGGTGCCTCTTGCTCTGAAGTGACTCAGCCTTTGCCTGGGAAGGGTTGTGAAGCACAGCCACCAAAAGGAGGCTTCCAACACACTGCTCTGTCTTGTTAGACCTGTAAATGGTACCAAACCTGACCACAAGTGAGCTGAGGGCATCCATCCATTAGCATTCTATCTCCAACTGAACAACCTGAGCAAGAAGTCGTCAGAGGAGAACATGTTTCCTTAAGGGAAGAAAGGTCTTGAGATAAAAGCACTTAGATTTAATGATCTGATGTTCAGCACCTTCTCAGAAGCTCTCAAGGTGACTCTTGGGCCCATCATGTGTTTCCTAGCTGTGAGAGTGTTCCATTGAGTTGCCTGGCCTGCCTTGGAAGATGCAGAATCACTGAATATTTGTGAGAGGCAGGCCTGGATTACAGGTTGGTAGGTCCTGTTGTGATGAGACAAGAATAACCATTATTGAAAGGAGCCTCATCCAAGCCTCCTTCCATTCTTCTCCAGATCCAACCTTCCTCTTGTGGTGCAACTCCATTTGCAGGCAGCAACTCAGCCAATGTATTGATTTACTCATTTCTTGGAGCACATACTCTAGAGGCCATAAAATCCTGCTTGATTTCATGTCTTAACCTGCACCCAGAAGGTATTTGTCCATACCTTTAGGGGAAAAAAGAAAAGACAAACCAAAGAGGAAAAAAAAAAGTCCAGTTACCTAGAGGAATGCTGAATGGAAATGTTCCCAGAGAAACCACCCTGGGAGACTGCAGCTCTAACAAGAGTTTCTTACCCAGGAGCACTCTGTACTGTGTCCCACAGAGGAGGAGAAGATCTGTTCCCATAAAATGTGACCCAGTTACCAAATTAACAGGGGCTCTGACGGATGGTTCTTAACTAGCTTGGCATTTGCAGTGCTCTTGTGGCCACAGGCCAAAGCACCACTTAGGCCAACTTTCAACATGCCTTCTCCTATTGTCCAAGCTCTTTACCCAGACCTGGCCAAAGCTGTAAGAAGCTGTTTGCTTTCTTTAGAAATGATACTAAACACTCAGTCTTCTGAAAACATGCTCTGGCAGGTCCAGGCAAGTTCCAAGGCTGGAAACGTGGGGCATTTCCTCTGTGGCCTCCAATATTTCTCCCCCAGCAGCCCCCACTTCCAAAAGGAGCTCTGTTTTGTTAAGAAATCACAGTTACAATATGGAAAACTCTACAGCAAAAGCAAACCCAGCACCAGGTCCTTCTAGGAAATGGGATGTGACTAACATGTGACAACAGCCACCCATCAGAACTGCAAGATGCAAATACACTCTACTGGCACCCTCCAAAATTCCCCTGGCTGGCAGGCTCTGCTCCCACCACCCAGAACAGCTTCCACAGCTCTCCTGCAAGTCCAGCTCCAGCTGACAGCCCTTTCCAGGCTCAGAAGCTGAGATGTTCCTCCAAACAGCCCCATTTGGTGCAGGTTTTGTGAGCCACTCTCAACAAAGCACAAAGCCCTGGAGTGGTGGCATCACCTCAGGCAAATGCTAGCACTCCTAACCTGCAACGAGGAGCATCCTCCACATCAAATGACCCACAGACACAGAGCTGTCAGCTTGTCCAGGCTGAGGCAACACTGAGATACCTGCAGAGAGCAGTGCTGCAGCAACCCCACGGATCCCAACACGTGTAGACCCAGCAGGTACCACCACAGCCTTACTCAGAATGACTCTCTGTCATCACTACACTTCAGCTGAAGTTGCCAGACCCATTTCCTCCCTGTTGATGTGCTCCATATATTTCCTGAAGTGCCCAAAGAATAAGATGAGCCAATAAATGCAAATTCAGTCTCTGGTCCTGACATACCCCTAAGAGGCTCCTCAGAAACTCAGCCCTCTGGGCATGGGAATCCAGGTGGAACAAGCTCTTGCACTTCTCTGCAGAGATGTCCCAAAAAGGAGCACGTTTCAGAAGAGGAAGGGCTGATGGAAGGAGCCAGGATTGGCCAACTACAAGCTGCCAGCAGTTTGGACTCAGAGCTGAGCATTTTCTGAGGGCTATTTCTGGTGGTCTTAAAGACTTTTCTGGTGTTTAAGACCAGGACAAACACCACCCATTCATTAACCATACCATGTCCTCTCCATGGAGCTTGCCTCCTTCTCTTAGGAGCTGAAAAATCAAAGCCCTGTGAAGATCTCTTGCTGTAATGGTGATGAGGTAAACAAATCAAGAAGGAAAGGGAAAGCAGCCCCAGAGTTTCATAGAAACCTTCTCATAACTTCTATGATATTATTTCCTAGCTTCTCTTCAGGGACATGTATCTGGATACACACCAGCACATGGTCACTTGGTGTGTGGTCTGGTCAGCCAAAAATCCATGGCCTTTCTTTCCAGCCCACATCCTCTCTGTAATTACAAGGAGCTGCATTTCCCCCTAGTGCCTTTTAAAAACCCTTGAAGACACTTGAAGGGTGGGGTGTTGAAAGAAGGAGGAAGAGGTTTTGTTTCCCTAAAGGTATTTTCTCCTCCTGACACCTCTATTTTAGGTACTTCTTCAAACATATCTGTATTATTTCCTTTAAAAAGCTTTTATCTCTCAGAAAGGAGAAAATATATAGAGAGACCTGTCCAGTTCAGAGATTAAAAAAAGCAAGCTCTGTCAGGACACAACTCTAGATGAGAATAATAACACATTGTTCCATCTGTATGTGTGTAATGGAGCAGGAAAAGGGGAAAAAACACAGGGGGAAGACAGCTGCCCAGGTTTGCAGCTTTTATAGCCCATAAAGCTACTCATTCTATCCCCTGTTAGGTGTTGCAGCTCTAGATCCCAACATTTATGGACATGTTTGGGGCCAGCATCAGTGGGAAAAGAGCATATTGCTCAGATAAGAATAAGCAAAACAAATTTAGCTGAGCAGGGATTGTGTCCAAGCAAATTTTCCACATTCAAGACCACAGGACAACCCTTGCCTCAAGCCACAGCAGAGGGATGGGGTGAGCCAGGAAGCAACAAGGACTCGCAGGCAAAAGTAGTCAATGAAAGAATCCTTCCCTTCTCCAAGTCCTTCCTGTGTTCAGTTTGTGATGCCTCTAAGCTCAAGGCATGGCCTCCAAGCTCGTGTGTCATGTTTAATGTGCTTTCCTGGAAACATGGGGTGTGTGTCAGAGCTTTGGTTTACTCAGAACTGTGAGAGCTGGTCAGACTTTCCACTGGGTGACAACCTCTCAGTGGGTTCTGGTGGTATTGTTCAATACTGTGATATTAAGGCATGAGGTATTGCTCTGCTCTTAACTTCCACCTCATTACTGCAGGGCACCATTCATGCATTCAGGGCATTAATTGGCTCAGCCTTATGGCCAAAATGATACTGCTGTTACTGCAACAATCAGAATCCCAGGGTGGAAGGGACAGTAGAAAGGGGTAAAGCAATAACAGCAATAATCAAACTGCTCTGGGACTCCAGAGGCAGCTGTAGCTGTTCCACAAGAGGTGAAAAAAACCCACAACAGCAAAAATCCCTCGTGGCCTTTGCCCAAGACAGAGCTAAGGGAAGAAAACTCTGCAAACCTAGAGGGATTCCCCAAGGCACGAGGTGTGGGACAGCAACTCATCAGCAAAGCCACTCACTCTGCTGTTTGAGGGCAGTTCTGCTGCTAGCTGGGTCTCTTTCCCCATCAGGACACTATTGCACAGCCACGACCTGCAGCTGCTTGCACCCTGCCTGGCTAAGCAGGTGCTGGCAGGACCTACCCCTGACTCACCAAATTACACAAAAAGAGGCACTAAGCTCCCCTGAAGACAACCTCCCCATTTCACACACATCCCTTTGCTCAAGGCAGCTCTCTCAGAGTTTATTTTCCGTTCTAATTAGAAGCACTTCCTGCCTCTCTCATTAACTCACAGCCACCCCTGATGGCAAGATTACTGGGGAGCTGGTGAAGGCAGGTCCCAACACTCCCCACCCAGCTGGACTCCTTCCCTTCCCCTGGGTTGCTCTGTCCATTCTGTCATTTCCACTAAGTTTCTCTAAACACAGTGTTGGTCAAAGGATTTATAAACTCACTGAAGTTTCCTAAACAAAACAGGAATTGTTTAAATTAAACAGAAGCTCCACAAAAAAAGGTCTGTGTGACAAGTGCCTGGAGAAACCTTTGCTGAGCT